TTCCACTGCATCACGCGAGGGTTTACTGTGTCACACCAAACTACTAAATAAATCCGGTTTCTTATTGAAGCCGATTACTTTATTTGGTGAGTGATCTTTGAGGTCAGCTGGCAAGGTTAGGATCCGTTTCATGGCGGGACAGGCACAGAGTATATGCTTTTTTACCAGGGCCTGAATCTCCTTATGACCTGATCGATGGGCGGCATGTGACTCCCTTCGTCGGTAAGCAACACAAATGTGTGGCTTGGGAAGTAGGTCTCCTGTAATGCATTTTGGCTGCAGAGTAAGAGATACTCTCCTAGTTTTCCAGGTTACCTGGAGCCATCGAGGCTGAATGTGCAGCTCTGGAATCGTACCTGTGAATTATCTTCTGAAATATCATCTACGGCAGCTATAATGGCATACTGAAGGGGATTATCGGATGTACAAGGTGAAAGATTGCCACCTAAATGATCGCAGCAACCTTCCCATACGAGGGCATCTGTCCATCAACTATAGGGCAATACTTTAGATTTAGTCTTACAGGGTTTTTTCGTCTCTGGTTTTTGTGACCCATCGTTTGCGCATACGCGTTTGCTGGTTCGATCAGGAGGAGTTTATTTTCTCTCCTTACACTGCTTCTGCTGGTCACAAATTTAGTGCACCTCTTGAGGAGGTGATAAGTCGCTTCCTGGGAGCAAGAGCTGAGAAACTCTTGCTCTTGAGTCGATGTTACAGGGAGGACAATTGTAGACTATAAACACAGGTTAGGATTCTTTGTTTCGCTCCTTTCGGCATGGTTTCATACACCTTATGTATCAATTAAAAGGACTCTTACCTCCACGGGTGACGCCTGACCCGGCAGAACAGAACCAACAGCAGTAGTTTCATTTTATTACAGAATTCTTATATTCAAGATTCAAGTATTAAAACCATCATGATCAAAGCAGTTATCAAGCTCTGAAGGGCAACGCTCAGGTAAGTTTATATTTACCTAGTTACTTAATATTTCTCATTCTACTTAGATAATTGAGTGCCTTATTATTACTAGGTTGCATTTCTATCAACTTGTTGCATTCTAACTTTTCAATACATAATGCCTTCAAAGACTTAGTGTTACGTAAGCTTGTCCTTCTTCAAACAATTTCAAGCTTAGGTTCACCACTGCCTAGTGCTTCCCTGCATTTTGTAAATAGTGAGGCCCATGATAAAGTTAAGAGCAACATCCCTTTGTTGACTATTGAATCACGCTTCTAACTTGACATCATCCTGTGTTTGGGTTAGACACCCAGATTTGTTTTAATGTATAGTCGAAGTAACCGGTATTGTGCATAGTTAAAGCTGTCGGCGATCTCAAAGGCCAAAAAAAAACAATACAGAGGAATAAAGCCGCTGCAAACTAGTCCACGTGTACTGTAGACTTAGCGGTTCGTATTGGATGATTTTTACCAACCTAGTTTTATGATTGGCTTAAAAGTCACAAAATTAAATTTTGAGTCATGTTACGGTGACGAATAGAATGCGAGGATGTTCATACCTGGCGTGTTTTCAATGTTCAATTCAGGAACCGATTTGAGTGTTGAAATTCGATATTGGTGCAGTTATGATTATTTGAAATTTTTGTTATCTGTTTAATATGTGGCGTCATTGGACAAGTACTAATAGTAATAACGAGTATGATAACAACGCAGACTTTATCCTGTGAAGTGATTCCATTTGCAATGGTGAACAATGCGAAAAAGAGATACCAGTGAATAAGATTCGGATGCATTTGAATATTGAAACACAGAGAGAGAGTATGTTTCAATGTGTATAAGAATCTACATCTCAAGTTTGGTTTCGAGGAAAACAAACTATTACAAGTAACATCAGATTTGACCGAAATTCCTTTCCTATCTGTATGTAAAATACTCGACAACAGGATGTGATACAGAATTACCAAAACCTTTATATGTTCATCTAATAAAATCATTGAAGAAAACAATATACGACTGTTACAAAAGCAATGAGATACCTACAATTGAAACCATAAATAAGAACTTGAATACTTCCGGTCATAACGTGAGCTAGCTGCTGTGACAAAATTCTTCAGAATTGAATAAAGAAACTATGATTTGGATTTAAAAGAATAAACAAACGTCAAGCAGTTATGGAAAGCAGAAGAATAGTGGAATTACGTAACAAATACTGAGAACAAATAACTAAATATAAACAAGAACAACATCAAATTTTCTATTTGAACTAAACTTGATATGACACTCACGACACAGTTACAAAAGGATGGACTGATGGTTCAAGAATGTGTACGCCCAACATGCTTGCAAACAAAGGATCGCGACTAATAATTGTGCATTGCGGAGGAAGTAAAGGATAGGTTCCGAATTCTTTGAAATTAAGAGGAAACAACTTGAGGACTGCAATGTTGACTATCATTAGAACATGGAAGCTAATATTTTTGAGGAATGAAAATACATTAATCCCAAATTCAGATGCGGAAAGTATAATAGTTCTTGATAACGCTTCCTATCATTCGCGACAGCTCATCAAAGTACCGAATAAAAATTCGAGGAAAGATGAAATACAAAGTTTTTCAGTGGATAGCAATTTGTATTTTGAAGATAAGTATACCAAAAACCAACTACTTGAAGTTTTACAGACAACAACATTTGAAAAAGTGTATGACCTAGATAGCATTGCTGAAATGTATGGACACACCATACTGAGACTTCCCTATTTTTGTGTTTTCAAACTTATACATTCTCAAACTTATACATTTTGTATAAGTTTGAGAATGTCCATATAGGACGAAACTGCAGTAATGTTAATTACAATCAAAAGTGGTAAAAAACAGGGAAATTAATTCATTATTGATTTAAATGACGACAGTGATAGTGGAACAGAGAATATGGAATAGGAATTATCAGAAGCTTTCATCAGCGCGGTGCAACCAAGTGTAAAGATGGACAAAACTTGTTTGCCGAAAGTAGAAAACGACACATACTCACGGAGTCAACAACAGGAGCCAGCCGCACATTTGTGGTTCCAATTAGAAGACCTAGAATTCCCAGGCTACATCTAACATGACCATCAAACAGGCAGGCATCAAAAGCTACCTGCGTGAAATCCGGGTCCAGGATATACAAACAGTTATAAATGTTATTGAGTGTGTATGATATGAATCAAAAATGAAACGATTTGTGGACACAACACTGACAAAACGGGGCAAACCACGGACACGTGTTTCTGACTATTGATCTCATCAGCGCGGTGCAGCCAAATGTAAAGATGCGCAATACTTGTTTGCCGAAAGCAGGAAAGCGAACAACACATACACGTGTCCGCGGTTTGACCCCTTTTTGGAGTGTTGTTTCCACAAATCGTTTTATTTTTTACTCATATCATACACACTCGATAACATTTATATCCTGGACCCTGATTGATTGTCGAATTACATGACACATTTTGAATGAACAAAAATTAAAGCAGTGTATGGAAATATCCACTTCCTGCAAAAATGTTTGACTCTGCTCTTTTTCTTGTAGACTCACACATTCTTTGGAAAATGTCGGTGGTGTTTCTGATAGTTTCACAAAAAACTATGGCGTGATTTCTTAACTTCTCGTCACTATAAATTGATATGATAAAAACCTCAAGAAATAGCCTAAACTCATTTCTTGTTGTCCTTTTGAACCTATACAGCAATTGTTGTTTAATTAAAATTCCATCAAAAATATATTCGTGTAAAATATTGGCAAAATGAGTACATATTGCTCGCATTACAAAAAAAGTTATCAGGTCTCATGCTGAGCCCAACTCCTTGCGATAGAGCGTATATATACATATACCATATACATATATCTTAACTCTACAAACCCTAGATGACAGTACTACCAACTGTCGAAAGCGCTCGCAGATAATTAATAGAAGATATAAAGCTTCAAATCCTTCTTGTAGAATTTAATATTGAAATACTCAAAATAAAGGAAAATTAGTTGCTTCTATGATCCGGGCGCCATTTGGTATAAGGAAATTTTTTAGGAAGTTTACGGTTTTCATTTAATATATTGGGTTTGAAAACAATACATAACCCGTCATTTGTGGTAGCGGCCATATTAGATTTATATTTTTTATAGTGTACTTACTATATTCTACCAGTTCCACCCTTCCATTTGATATCTAAATTGAAGGTGTCTAAATTGAAATATGTAATCCGCCATGTTGTGGCGACGGCCGTCTTAGGTTTATAATAATACTGAATATTCATAATTATATTGTTATCTAAACTCAAGAGTTGTATCTAGTTTCAAATGAGTCGGTCATCAGAAAAAGGGAAAATTTTCAATTATTACATTTCACCTACTCAAGACAAAAACTAGACAAATCACCTAAATAAAAACCGTTCAATTCAATCAATTCCATAATCTTTCGCCGAAGTTTATTTAATTTTTTTAGGGAAAGTTGGTCAGAATGTGTGTTCAACATGACTCATATGAAAAATACAATTTATGGACTTTTTCTGAAGATTCAAGACTTCCAATTCCGTTTCCAATTTTTCTTGTTACTTTCTTATGAACTCTTTCCTTTGTTTGATTTGCTTTTTTATGAATACGTCAGTTATTGGTTATTCATGGTCCGCTATTGATCAATTCAAAATATATATCAGATCTATTAAGGATCACTGGTTATTGATTTCTCCAACACAGATTTCCTCTTTTTTCTATCTGAAACCTCTCGATTGTATAAGTCCATCAATGAAAATGCAGTAAGGAATTTAATGAAATCTGAGTTCGAACAGGAACTCAAATGCTATGCTACTTATCATTTTGTCAATTCTTCATATAATGAATATTATGTCCATGATAATAATTAGAGAATTTTCACAGTAAATTTTATTTAAGATGATTCGACATTTCATGTCAAAACTTAAATAGATAAATGATTAATTCTGACAAAGCATACAATGAAAATACAGACACATGCTCATTAGCTGGCCAACCATTAAAAGAAACTTTAAATTCCAGGAAGGTGGTAGGCCGATAACGAGAACTCTAACGTTCCAGAGTCCTATTACAGAAGAAGAATTAGAAAATATTTGGGACGAGCAGACCCTTCGTCTTTTGGTAAGAGATCCATAAGTTGCGAATTTGAACCGGTAATATTGAAATTTGTTAATTTCAGCTCGAACAAAGTACTGATTACGAGGAACGTCGCATTATCAGAACTAGGCTCCGTCAAATTATGGCCGAACAAGAAGGTAAGAAAACGTTAACGAGTATATTTTTAGAGTTTTAATCAAACGATTTTTTAGATTGTATGATTAGGTTCAAAACTGAAAATAAGTAAAAAATAAATTCGAAATAATTGGTTGAATGGAATTTCATGTAGATCATTTACTTACAACGAACGATATATTCACATTCAAGTAGATTCATTGAAAAAGGATATAGAGCTGATTTAGAGTGAAGTGAAAACTTTGTGAAAATGAAAAAAATATAACTTGATAGGTAATTCATTCATGAAAATGTTTGCACATAACAGGATTGTGTTACTGATGTCGATATCCGTTAGAATTAACAATCATTGTTTTTTTCATTTCAGCTTGTACAGAACTGGTAGAAAAGGCAAGTCAGGAACAGTCCAGTGGATTAATAGAGGGTGAGTCACTTCTTCTTCCTCTTCTTCAGGGCTTACTTGATACTCCAGAAAAAGAGCATACTGCCGACTCAGGCATCGAATCGGGTGAAGATCAACGGAATGGTCTCATTCTCGAAGTTCAGAGTGCATTAGAAAAACTTTCTGCCAGCTTACGTAATGATGCAACAGACATTGCACCAGAAAGGCGCGATTCTTTGCTACAGCTGGTCACAAGATTGCAAGCTGGCCTTTCTTCTACTTCACCTAAACTAGAACGTCGACTTTCGAGCGGACCGGGAAGATTCAATAAGAGGAAAAATAGGCAAAATAGGCACACTGTGGGAGTTAGTAGTGAGGAACTAGCCGATGCAAGACGTCTAATAGAGGAAATATCAATTCACGAAATCACCCCTTCTGATTCTACAAATAAAATAACACTGTTGCAAAAACAAAATTCAGAAAGCAGTGTCACGAGTAATTCCTCTGTATCGAAGTTTGTGAATAAAACTGTAGTTAAAAATGCAACTGCCAAACCATTCAGCTCCAGTAACAGCATTTCAAATGCTTCTTCATTGGTACAAACTCCTACAGACCCCTTGGAACATTTAGAATCTATTTTTGGGATCGAAGGAAGTCATTATGAAGTACCCACGAATTATGGAGAAGAAAATCCTACAACTCAACTGTCACATCCAATATATAATTTGGGAGAAAATGCATTAAATCCATCTATTTCAACTGGAGCTTCTTCAAATATCGAAACAATACATGGAGTTGTAAAGCAGGCTGATACAATAAAAAAACTGCAATCAGAAAGTAGAGAATCTGAAACGGAAGACTCGACAACCATCGTCGCGGAGTCGTCGGGGGGGAATGAAAAAGAAGAAATTTCTGTGTTCTCACAACTAAATCCGACCTATGTAAAACCTGACGAAGTTTCCATTCATTCTGTTTTGTCCCACGATCATAAAGTTAATAGATTCAATACAAACAATAAAAAGTTGAAAATGAAGCGAGCCAATACTATTGACATACCAAAAGCATTACAATTCTACGAAGATGAGAATGATTCTGAGGTTTCTGATGAGGAAGAGGAGGCAAGGCAACGTAGAAATAATTACTATGCTCTGCGAGGACCAATAAGATTGGGAAATGTAACAAACAGAAATAGCGTACCTGTTTTCGAGCCTAAAACGGAATCTGATCAAAAGTTTTTAGCTTTCATCAATAAAAATAGTACGAATGCTGACAATAACAATAAAGTATCTCTCTGGTCTGGTCAATGTGATAAATCAACAGTGTGGAGTAATAAATTTGGAAATATCAAAAATAACTTCGAGAAAGCATCTTTGAAGACCCCCAACAATTCGGCAAGAAATTTTTGGAAAACACAAGATGATTCTTCAACAGTAGGTAGTTTGTCTCAATTTGGTCCGAAAATCAGTAGAAAGAGTGCTAGAAATCTTCAACAAATGTTCGAAGAGAAACAGCGGCATTCTCAAGAGAGGCTGTTCAAAGACAAGAACGTAGTAACAGGATCATTGACTGTAAAAATTGAGCCTGAAAAAACTTCAAAATTTTCCCCTCAACCAAAACCCATAAATAAATTTTCACATGCCCCACAGTCCGCATTCAAACCAATCTCAAAAAAACTGAGTACAAACCAAAATTCAAATATTGTACCAGGAAAGGAGATTGTGAAAACGGAATATATGGAAAATGAAAATGATAATTCTCTTTTTTTATACAGCCCAAAACCTCTGATAGATTCAAGAAATATTTTCAGTGATGCATCTTCTATGAGCTCTAAACCTTGGGTTTCAAACCAAAGTGAGCACGGTAGAAAAGTTTTGAATATAGCAGCTAGAAAATTTGAAAGCTCTCCACAGCCTGAAAACGTCCCAATAAAACCTAGAAATCTTATTAAAGAGTTAAATAATGGTTTTCTCTCACAACAATCTCCAGCAGAAAAGTTAAGTGCTCCTTATCTTGTTAATAGTGTAGAGCAACGAAATAGCATCGTAAGAAAACTTAGCGATCAGTATGATAATATGAGTAACAACATCCAAGATATTTGTAGTCACGTCAGAGTAAAATACCAACCAATAGTAACGCTAGAAAACACATCATATTATCCCACCCAAAAAATTCCTTCACACGTAAATACAACTAAGCCAGTACTAAAACATCATACACATCAGGTCAGCTCACAGTTTCATCAGAGTAAGCCTACTGGTACTCCTCAGTTTAGTTATCTTCAAAAGGAAAATAATTTGGTAATCAACAAAATGGATAATCCTATATCTGAGCATGATCAACAGTATTTGTCTGCTGCCATTGCACCTGAAGCACTAGCAATTTATCAGCACGTTCCTGGGAGAGAAGTTCCGCAACAGACTCGAGATAAATATTACACGTCTTCATTTCCAGTAAATAATGTTCCAAAACTTAAAAATTCAATTCTGCCTGTACAAAAAATTGAGCCGGTGGTACAACCCCCAAAACTTCAATCTCAAATATCCACTGAAAGTCTACATGAGTACAATGCTATCAATAGTAAAGTAATGACAGGTCCAGTAAGTCAAAACGCAGTCACTGTTCGACAAAAGTCTCCTATGACTCGTGATGAACATGACATGAATGCTGCTTTCGACTTAAAAAATGTTCTTCAAAAAGTTAGTAAGAGCGACCTAAGCCCTCCAAAATCTCCTACAAATATGAAGAAGCAAAATAATGTATGTAGAACTAATATTGTAACCGAAAGTCATCCATCCAATACATCAACGCTTTATAGCCCCAAGTCTGATAATTTCAACGTACATAACGTATTTAAGAAAGTTGATGACGCCAATGTAAAGAATACTTTCATTAAGAACACTATTCGGAATATTCCGAATCCGGCTGAACCTCAAGGTAGCTTCAAATACAAAGAGTTGGAAGATATGAAACGAATTAGTCAAATGTATCCACAAAATGAGAATAAAACTTTTGGCGTTGTAAAGCCTATGCAACAGAAACCTGTTTCGGTGACGCCTATTTACAACAATGTCAGTGAAATCAAAATTTCTCAGCCACAAAAGGAACCAACATTCGCGGAAAAACAACGAATGTTCAATATTCAGTCAAGTATCAATGCTCCTAGTCAAGCTCAAATGCTGAGAAAATCTGATTCTTGGAACCAAATATGCTTAACCAACCAAATGTCCGACAGAAAATCATCTCCTAGGACATCTACTGCAATTGGAAATATTATGAGATCAAAATCGAGTCACGCCTTAGCTGTCCCTCAGAAACAATATGAAGCAGGTATATCGAAAGATGATCTATCGCGAAAGAAGCAAACAATGGAAAATTATTTCTCAGGTGGCAGTAAATCTCCCCGACCTTCTGATTCTAAGGCAGATAGTAAAATTGTAAAGAGAAGCATCAACAGGATAAAAACCTCAGATAAAGTGTCTGCGTACCATCAGACTTCAGGGTTATCAAGAAGTAGAACTTTACCAGATATAGTTTGTCCAACACTTCTAGATGAAAGCAATGTGGACCAAGCATTCGAAGACTTGTTCAAATCCAGTTCGTAACAATGACAAGCTGAAGATGATTGGTTGCCAGTTCATTCCATTTTAATGTATGTGAAAGTGTTTTCGTGTCATTTAGAAGTTAAGTTTTTAACAAGTTTAGCCAAATGGAACCTGTGTGAATAGTTGGATTTTCTTAAGCTAGATTTGGAGCCACCAGTTATGAGATGTCGACGATAACAGATTGGTGTGTCGAAGGTGCGCACACCAATCGCAAAGTGAGGACAAGTGTTGGTGAAATAACCATCGATAAAGAGGGTGAGAATGTGTTGGTGTGCGCACCCCTTAACAAAACCCTCCCACTCGCACTCGAACAACACAGAAACGAATGAAAATAATGAACCATCAGTATCTTATAAATAGCAGAAATTTGTTTTCCATCGGTTATTCATACACAATTAACTTCAATATCATTTATCTCATTTATTATTTATTTTTTTAATATATTTCTGAAAAAGCACCATTATGGCGTGTAACTAACCCTATGAGCACTTCAAAAGATAGACTTGACGTCTATATGAGATTTTTTTTCATAAATTGAAATATAAACCAATACTCTGCCTACTAATTTTCTCCCTCAATATTAATTCAATGTTTTTGCACTTTGATTTGATTTTCACTAACCCGTTTCATTATTATTCTCAAATGAAACTTACTTCCTTCCTTTCTTTTCAGAAAATATTATTTCCACTCAGAACGTAGTTTCTGAAGGGCCTCATACTACCACCACGCAAGGTAACCACTCAAATAAATCAGGTTCGAAATTGATTATTATAATGTAATTTATGTTTTAGTAACAAAATTGACCACTAAACAAGAAATAAGTAAAAAGCCATTATCACCATTCACCAAATTTCGTCAACTGGACAAACAAAACAGTAACAATACACCACCAAGGTAAAGTACCTAATATATTTCATAATTTTTATCAAAACCTAATTTATTCATATGCATGCACCGTAGATTTTTGAACATATGAACGAAAAAATTCTGAATTCTGAATACACTTCCCAAATATTGTATTTTGTCATATGTACCAAAATGAGTTTGATTTCTGTATCGAGGAGGAATACATACATATAAGAAAATTAATATTTTGAAATGGAATCTTGAAACATTCATCTCTCCTACCTACATCGTAGATTATGGTAAGTGCCTGCCGGAAAACAACTAATTTCCCGGCTAATGCCACGCTGGAATTGAATTATATTCGACAGACATTTATTCAAGATACCTCACAGAGGTTAGTCTTGCAGATGAATCTCGTTCAAGCAGCAGCAGAACCATGGTGAAATCAGTCGATTAGACCACCTACAGACCAGTTTCAAGGTATTAGCTCTCATCTCCATGTTAGGAATCACATGTTAAAAGGTAAGACCTCGTTAGTCCTTAGCTCGCAAAAGTTTCTCAATTTCTGAGAGTTGTCGTTCGTATGGGGGCGACAGCTGATTAACGGAAAAACAGAACAGATCAGTGCAGGAAGTATCCGACCCAAGAGGTAATACCTCGAAACCGGTCTGTAGGTGATCATACGACTGATTCCAGCATGATCCTACTGTTCGGTGAACGAAGAACATCTGCAAGAGTAACCTCTGTGAGGTTACATAAAAGTCTTGCATAAAAGTCTATCGAATAATTCAATGTTCAGCATGGTGTTAGCCGGGGAAGTTTTTGTTTCACGGCAGGCATTTACTCACTAAGTACCCACTAAGGAGTGGATACTTTGTGAGATAATCATGTTTCGAGATTTCATTTCGAAATATTCATTTTGAAAAATGAGAAATAAAACTTCCTATGTTCTCATCTTCTCATCGTTTTTTATGTCTCAATTTACATGATGAATAACTCGTTACCCCTTGCCTCTGATGTGGACCTACAATTTTGAAGGTACGTGTGTCAGATACCCGACGAAAAGAGAACAACTAACCCAGCTAATACCGCGCAGAAAACTGAAGTAAAACTATCAGGCACCTGTGCAACGACTTCCATCTGGAAGATTTGTCGCATGTTCTTCCTGCAAATGAAAAGCAAAGATTAATTTCACTTGGTTGGCACGACCAATCAATAGACTCATCATCAGTACCGGCAGATCACTTCAGATAAGTACTATTTTGATCATTCCCATATTGATTTCAATTTAATAGCCACCGGTTTACAGCTGTTTCAGCCTATCGGGAATCGTCAGTACCGGGCAAGCGGTCTTCGATTGAAAACAAAATGTGACGACGTAATCCATCTTGAGTTCATTCAGGTTGAAGCCTGGCTCCCTTCCCCTTTTAACTGATGTTTGTCAGAAAGACAAACGGGCCAACAAAATGTGAACAACCAAGAAAAGTACTTAATAAAAATAACTGCATAAACGCAAGCGAGACATAAGTGGAACCACCTATTGGTGTGACACCCAAGTCAACCTGCCAAGTTTTTATGTCAGTGTTGGTGGTTTGACCAATCAGCCGACAACTGCGGTTGCAGAAATTTGGGAAACTAACCTGACGGTACTGACGATGTCCGATATATGAAAAGCAGAAATTAAATTCGTTTGGTCGATCCGACCATCCGATAGACCGGTTTTGGGGTGTTTGCCCCATCATCGGTACCGGGCATGGTCTCTTCAGATTGGTGTGAACCGTCTGAGTGTACGACCAAACAAATATAATTCCAGATTCCAGTCAGTCATGGAATCTCTCTGCAGTTGATTCAGTGAGATGTCCACTGCGCCAACTGCAGACAGAGCCAGGAAACAACTGCACAAGCATACTCCAGTCGTCTGAGTATCACGATACCTTTGGGTATCTGCCACAAGTACCTACAAAGTCGTAGATCTGCATGAGAGGAAAGGGGCAACATTTAGCATGCCATAATGCACCTCTCCCGAATATTAATCTGCGGGCTATGGAAACACAATTTTTTATTATTCAAGCTTTCGGAAATATATTGTTTTCCTTTATCAAGAATATCTACAAAATAAAGATCATGTGAATATTATACAGTAGTAGATATGTTACAGTAATAAATATATAGTATTCCATGTTCTTCTTGTAATTCAATTTACATCGATGAGACCAATCGTAATCGATCTGGAAGAATCACTTCACATAAAAGTGACTGCAGACTAAACAAACGTTCCTGTGGACTAGCTGTGGACATGTTATCTCTTCAGATCATGTTATGGATTATCAAAATACTAAAATTTTAACAGTTGAAAATAATAAATTCAAAAGGCNCCCTACAAACAGGCGACACCTTTTCTGAACTTTTTTTTTCCGAATTAATCAGTTCAAATTTTTTTTTAATAGAAGTGAGATCACTACCACTTCCTGTTCGTATCTAGAATTGGTCGGCAAGATCTTTCAACCTTCCCCAGAGGTAAATGTCCATAAGCTTCATCTGTCCAAATACAATTTAACAAAAAATCACGCCCTTAGTAAAAAACGTTTTTTTAAGACAAAACAGAAAAATCCTCAAGGCGCTCTAAGAGTGGTGTCTATGCAAAACTGCCGATTCACTTTGGATTTGAATCGCTGGAGATTGAATTCATTTGGAAAAACGTTATCATGAAGTTTATTCCACATAAAAGCAGTTCTCCAAATGGAAGAGTTCTCAAACAGTGAATTTCGAGGTGTGCCAGGAACCACTGGCAAAAAGCCATGTGGCGTTCAAAATCTCCTGGTCTGAGTTGATGAACTCTTCTGGTCCTGTATGGTTTAAATTTGTGTTCTTTCAAAATCCTCGTAACGTTAGTTCTCGGTAGGCTTGTTGATATTTTCAAATTTCGCGTTGACGTCAACAGCTCCTACAACGACTATTTCTTTCTACTTCTTATTCCTATTTGATTCATATAATTTTAGCCTTTTCTTTTCAAATTGACCACCATCTAAAAGGTTGTCTTGTCTCAGGATACCTCTCGTGATACAAATTGCTTGCTGCTTCTGCATTTTCCCCCATGAAACAAATTATCATATCCCATTTCTCAAACCACTAATTGAAGAGCGTCTTCATTGCTTAAATCAAAAATTTGAAGATAGGAACTATTCTCTGAATTATTTCCAGTTGGAAGCAGATATATCTGTGACATTTTCCTCTCATTTTTTAAATTGACTCTGAAATACTGCAATAATAAGAAACCTCTGAAAGCTGTTATTCTAAAATCAGAAAATCATGTATTCAGTTCAATTTCAACAAAATAATTTCATAATAATAAAAAATGATAGTTCTTTTCAATTCAAATAACTCATCAAGTATCAAATCAACAGAAGATGTAAATTTCCATATGATATCGCATGCAATAAAAAAGCATTTATGTAAGATACCGTCTTAGGGTTAATTGATTTTCATCCCAAAGTAACACAACAATACCTAACATGTGCACCATCCACTCTATGCTTTTCCCTTTCCTACACACTTTAATACTCACTCTCAGATATTGCTTCCCAAAATGTAGGTTCCAACCATAAATGTATATATTTTGCTTGTTGCTTGATGAACGACTTCCTGCTAATTCTTGCTTGGCTTGGTCAACAGTACCCCAGGTACCCCAAAGACCCCCTTCGGCAGTGGCCCCCTTTTTAAATTCACTGATCCGGCCGTGAGCCAATCCGCGAGCACCATCAAAGATCGCCTCTTGTATTGGTGTAAAATGAAGACTAAGGAGTACGAGGTATGAGGTTTTGGTGTTGTTTTTGAATTTGCTTCTTGATTTATTATGTAAATAACCACTGAAAATTACACTGAAAATGTTATTGTTTTGTTGATATTCATTAACCCTACGCCACTTTAACCAAAACACCTATCATTTTGAAATTGGATTAATTAATATTTTTAATTTATTTTTAATTTATTCATTCCACTGACTAATGGCTGGTTCATGCACCAAATATGAATCTGAAGACTTTATCGAGGAGAGATAGATATGAATAAGAAAATAAATATTTCGAAATAGAATTTCGAAATATCAATCTCTCCCAACGTACCTACACAGTACGTTCTGGTAAATGCCTGCCGGAAAACACATACTTACCCGGCTAATACTACGCTGTATGTTGAATTATATCCGATAGACATATAGGCAAGATATCTCTTAGAGGTGAATCTTTCAGATGTTTCTTATTTATACATCGGCAGGAATCACACGTTAAAAGGTTAGACCTCGTTAGTCCTTAGCTCGCACAAGTTTCGACTTCTGAGGGTTGTCGTTCATAGGGGTGCGACAGCTGGTTAACGTACAAACAGATTTTGAAACAGATTTTTTACTACTTTCACTTTAAGAAAGTTGTCAGAATATAAATAAATGAAAGCATTCATACAACACCGTATAATGAAAGTAGGTGTATGATTGCTTCCATAGATTTACAATGACAACTTTTTCGAAATAAAAAGACAAAGTTTGGTGTATAAACTAGCCAATAATGTTTTTGGAATAAAAAACTTGTATTTAGATAATAATTAGTTTGTTTTTATTATTAAAATGGAAACTTTCAGAAGTGAAATCAATAATAGGAATATTCAAATGACAGTGATTTGTGAATATTTTTGATATAGCAGATTGAAAATGTTTGTTCTTAGTTCGGACATATACCTAAAGTATTGAATGCTACAAACTGAAAAAATTCAAAGCTACATTTTTTTTCAATATTTGAAATCATTGTTGATAAAAAATGTACCTACATGAAAGGTACGGTTCTGTCAATGAGTAAATTGTATGAATACAAATAATCGAAACCTGGTGAAATATTTCTGAAAACCTTACCTGTGTTTTCATGTCTTTGTTCATTCCCTTTCCTATATTTTTATCAATTTCGCTTCTGCCAATAACTAATTCATTAGGAGTGTAATTTAAAAAATACATATGCTTTCATATTCACATATTCTATAAAATACAGTCAGAACTTGAAGCAGGCTTTCGTGATCAAGGTATACTGTACAATTATTATCGGGACTGTTAACAGTTGACTGAGTATTTTCTAAAGTTTCATATACACGAGTGATTGGTTTCTTGCCTGCAGTTATCGTGTTATTGCTATCAGTTGGCTGAGTACTTTGTTAACATTCAAAATTGTATTGCCCTATATTTATTCTAATCAACGAGTGCCAAATCACTGTAATAAATAGTGAAGAAGCGAAAATTGATACAGGTGTAAGTAAAAGTAACATACCAAAAGTTTTGGTGATTAGGGATGTTTCTACGAGGAGGAAGATGTCGCCAAAAGTATCTCACATCATTTGCAAACAACTCGAAAACTATGGCATCTAGCGAAAGCATGTCCATACACTTTTTGCTAAGACCAGTACTCGATGAGATATTGGGGAGGAAAATGGGAAAGAGCTTAAAAATCGAGTTTTATCTGAACAAAATAAAAATTTCTCAAAATAACTTAGTATGAATACTTGACGACGTCGCGAAAATACCTGCTTTTCGACTGCCGCACCATACATCACACCTAGTTGTGTAGTGGCAAAATGTCAAGAGTGTCGTCCAATGCCACAGGATCATTAGTGGTGCTGGGAATAGGTAATATTTCATCTTTTCCTATTGCCCAGCCACATTGTGTTTGTGGTAGGGGGTTGCTCAATCACTGTTGTATCTGTTTAAAAAAAACTGTTTAAAATCTGTTTTTCCGTTAATCAGCTGTCGCCCCCATATGAACAACAACTCTCAGATGTTGAGAAACTTGTGCGAGCTAAGGACTAACGAGGTCTTACCTTTTAACGTGTGATTCTCAACACGGTGATAAGAAGTATTGAAAAAGTATTGAGATCACCAGCATTGATTATTCGAAATGTTAAGTAACCGGCATTTTATTATGTACTTTGGCCTAAGCATGGTACTGAGAGATCACTCCCAGAGGAGTGCTCTCCAGCGGCTTCTCAGAGTCAGACTTTGGCTTCACCGAAGGCATTGTACCTCAGATTGTTAATATCTGTTGTGCCTCGAAGCGCTTGAAAATTGGCCAAGAAAAATGTTTTTTGAGGCATTATAATCTCCTTGGTAACAATACGGCATTCAAGAATTTCTGGACGATTCCTCTCTTGAGGCTAGAGTCCACAGTCAATAGTTTGACCATTCCGCATTTACTCTTCCCGAAAATTGCGAAGGTGGTTTCGCGTCCAAAAAAAGGAGGGTCAGCAAAGGAAAACTGTTAAAAGCTGTACACAGAGAACCATTTGGTGCCAAAACATCAACTATCATTGAAAGCTACTTCAGGATACAGAAGTGCTTTCTCCAATACATTCCTTGCGATGCAAATCCGCATCCCCTGCAATAGCGAAGGTTTTCAGCTCTGCTCTATTATTTTTCGGTTAGGAAGTCGATAAGTCTCATTTTATCTTTTCATTTGCGAAAAAATGTTTCTACTGAACTGATGATTTTTTTGTGAAAGTTGATGTCCACATTACTTCAACCAACTAACTAACTAAAATCACAGCACAACTGTCACTATAGTGTCTTGGCTTGTAGGCAATATACTACTCGCAAAGAGATTAAGTAGAGGAGCATGGTTTCAGGAGAAGGAAACCACCGTCTATGACATTGTGACGTCAAAAGTTGAGTTATCCTCTGATGACAAATTATATATCATAGCTGCCAAACTAAGTTCTAGTAAAATCTGCTCAAGAGTTAATGATTATCACATAGTGAATATTCAATGAGAAACTAAGTATGAATAACTGGTGAAAGCAAGCTCAAATCAATTCGATTGTTCATGAGATATTGAAAATTTTTGTGATTTATTAATTTTCATATTTTCAGACCTTTCTTCTGTAAATGAAGGATTCCGAACTCCTGATTGGACTCATGTCCCTCCCTCCCATGCTTTAGTATTGAGTATTGACCCCAGCGAAAAAATGTATAGTAAAAGACTGTGTGTAGAATAATTCATTCTATGGATATTTTTTGCTACATAGTTTCCAAGTTATTTTCAAAAATATAAAAGTGGGAATTTTGACCACCTCCCTTTCTGAAACTATCCCTCTAACCCTACTATCAAGAAAATAATCACCTCAGAATTTCATTTAAATAAATCTATGGTACGAAAGTACAGTTTGTATAGGATTATCAAAATTATCTGTCTCATGGAGCACGCTAGCGTATGGGACAAATATTTTATCTCGGTCTTTAAAACGCCTTTTTTTGTTGATGAACTCTTGTTTCGCGAATATAGATCAAATTGGCAGAGAATATTTTAATCAAGCTTTACCCAATTGTAAACGCCAGTTTCAATTCCTCGTTTGCAGTAATTTGATGTGAGTTAAAAATTTTTACAAATCTTTCTTTAGAAATATAGTAACATGAAAATTTTGAAATAGCTTATTCACAGTTTATCGAACACTATATCGTATGTTCCGAAGAATTTGTTTATACATAAATAAATATATAGTCGTGAATGATAAAAACTTTCCTATTTCTTTGTTCGATTTGAGGGCGTTTTTGTTCATAAACTGTCTTTTGAATGTATCCTAATCCACCCAAATTTATGCGGAAATTATTGAAATTTGCATCTTTAGTTTCAATAACTATTGAATTAAGTAGCTAAAGTGAAAAACATTATGTTTTACATTTTTCAATGTATCCAAAATAAGCAACTCCTGAAGACTCCAACTTGGTTGGTAAAACTCGTGTCGAGAAGAATAATGCAATTGTGGTGATTGAGAAAAGTGCTTGTTTTGGATTTATTCACCGCCAGAGGTTCCAGTTTCACCTTTTCTTTCTCAAGAAATCATGAGTCTTTTACGAAAAAAATTTTACTGCAAATATTCATTCATACCCACCTGAATTTTTCTAACGGTAATTTCAGTTTCATACTCACAATAAATCATTATTATTAAATATTGATTATAACAAGATGAACAAATCGATAAAAGGAAATATAACCAAAACTTTTCTAAGCTTGTTTTGAGTAAAATAGCTAATGGTGACATTAGGTCAGCTATCAGAATCTTGAGCTCAAGTGATACGTTGGCCGAATACGATGAATTCACACTTTCAGTTCTCCGATCAAAACACCCCCGATCAGATTCCTCCACACATTCTCTGGATTCGCAACTAACACACGATTTTTCAGAGTTTCCGGTGTTCCAATTTTCAGAACATGAAGTATCGGAGGCAATTAAATCTTTTCGTTCTGGTTCTGCTGGTGGTTTGGATTCTTTCCGCCCTAGTCATATGCAAGACCTCATTAGTCACACAGCTCTGGAAATTCAGGACAGAAACTTCTTTCTTCTGTTACAAAATTATGTAACTTCATTTTTACTGGTAGGGTTTCTCCAGAAATTTGTCCTATACTTTTTGGCGCTTCACTGTGTGCTCTTCGGAAAAAGGATGGAGGAGTAAGACCGATTGCCGTCGGTACCTTTTATCGTCGATTGGTAGCTAAACTTGGTTGTATGAGGATTAAAGACGAACTAGGATCGATGTTACGTCCACTACAGTTTGGTTTCGGTACTGCAGGTGGATGTGAAGCTGTTGCTCATGCTGCTAGTTGATATATTATTCTTCATCCAAATTCCGATTCAAAAATTTTCCTGAAAATAGACTTCAAAAATGCATACAACATGATTGATAGAAACATCATGCTTCGTAAGGTTAAAGATTCGTTTCCAGGATTATATCCCTTCTTAAGTCAATGTTATAAATCAGCTTCCTATTTGGGTTTTGGTGAACATCTGATTCTGTCTGAGAGAAGTGTTCAACAAGGTGATCCCTTAGGACCTGCTCTTTTTTGTCTGACCATCAACGAACTCACTAGAAGCTTATCATCCGAATTTAATTGTTGGTATTTGGACAATGGCTCAATCGTTGGCGATGAAAACAGTGTTTCAAAGGATTTAGAAAAAATCATTGATTATTCAAAACATCTTGGACTTGAACTAAATTTTGAAAAATGCGAGTTGATTACTATTTCAACTCCGAATAATATTTCCGAATCCATTTCGAAATTGGCTCCTGGCATAAGAATTTTGGAAAAGTCTAAATGGAGTCTTCTGGGTGCTCCTCTCTCTAAAGATTCATTTTCAGAACATCTTCTAGAAAAACGGGAATCACTCAAATAGCTGACCACCAGATTGAATGAACTTCCAAAACACGTTGCATTTTTTCTTTTGAAAAATTGTTTGGCGATTCCAAAACTCATGTACGCCCTCAGATGTTCCCCCACTTGGTCAAGTCAGTTAGAGCTTGACGAATTTGATAATTTACTCCGCCACACGACGGAATATGTTACAAACAATCATTTCAATAATGATTCATGGCTCCAAGCAACTCTTCCTGTAAACCTTGGCGGATTAGGGCTACGTTCGGCTTCTTCCTTAGCTTTACCAGCGTTTCTGTCATCAGTCAATAGTGTTTCCGATCTTATCGATTCCATCCTTCCTTCCATATTTATCAATATCAAAGACGTTTTTTAT